ACATGAAAATTTAAATTTTTAAGACATAAATAAAGCTAAATGAAACCTACTTACAATGATATGTGTTTGGTTAAGATTTCTTAGCCTTTTTTCTTCTCTTTCTCCTTCTTTTCTTTCCTTTCTTTCTTCTCTTTCTTTTTCTCCTTTCTTTCCCCATAAACTCGCCCCTCTCTCTCCTCTTTTTGAAAGTTACGAGTTTTGCCAAAAAAAATGGCAAAGTTTTAAGCTTTCTTTCCATTTTTATATCAAACCTTTTTAAAGCATTATTTCTTTCATGTTTTAGCATGTCACGTGTCCAATTTTTATGGTAAGAGAGGTCAATCGTGGAGATAAAAAGATAGGCAAGTTGGAGTGTTTAACCTTCCAAAATTAAGTGAGAAAGTACAAATAGAAGTATGGTGAAAGATTTTATATCACATCACTAACTAAAGAGAGAAACTAAAAGGTAACTAAACTAACCAACTTTCTTACCTTATTTGGTTCCTAAAATCCAGCCATGACTCTTAAGTGGAACATATTTTGCACTTGCATTGTCATTTTAAATATACATTGTGGAAAAAATAAATAATGGTTAATTAAATTTTTTTAAAAAAAGAGTATTCCTATGAACAATTCCATAAACCTTAAATATTTTCACACCACAAATATAAAAGAAATGGCACTTAATTTATGCTCACATAATCATAAATATTTCAAGAGATATTTAGGCTCGAGAATTAAATTTTGACATGTCAAAATTAATTTTAATTTTTTTTACCCAAGCATCTTAAACTCACCAAACACAAACATAAAATAAAAATCATAATTGTGACTTAGTAGATGTAGATAAAATTATTTTCGTACATATCGCTACGTTAAGCAAGTTCACGGGAGTTACAATAATAAACCATATTCATGACATTAATTTAATTATAACACATTCCTCAAGCCATTACATGAACATAAATCAAGTAACATTAGACAAGTCATGAGGCTGAAACCAATCATAAGAAACAAACCATATAGCATGAATTCAATACATAAACCAAAACTTTCAAAGATTTCAAACGTATTACCATTATTAATTTAATAAATAAACACTTATCCATGCAACATTAAGCAATGACATAACTAAAGTCACCAAGCAACAAAACAAATGCTTAATCACCCAATAAACATATGGATACAAAATCGAATCATTTCAAGTAGGCACTTTGTCGAGTTGATCAACAATATATGTTTAATCACCAATTAGCCATATGAATATACAATCATGTAATATCAAGTAATTACATCAAATTCAAAACCAATCAAGCAACAATCACGAGTGTTCAATCATCGTATAAACACTTAAACACAAACCAAGCATCATCAAGTATCACATAAGCCCTAAACTATCAAGTAAATGCATCATTAAAGTATTTATCCATCAAGTAAGCATAGGAACACTAAATCATATAACATGCTTATCTTGTGTTTAGTTGAATCACACATAATATTATTAAGAAACACATGCATATAACATCAATTAAACACAACTTCAAAAGTGATCAATCATCAAGCAATATTTGAACACAAGTCTTGTAACTTCAATATTCATTTATTAATCAAACATATAACACTTATGTCTTGTGATGTAATTGAGATTAAACTTGTAATCTTCAAGTAACCTCGTGATTAATCATTGATTAAACAAAATATCATAATTTATCAATCACTAATTAAACTCACAAACGGATCATCTCAAGTAATCAACCCTCAATTAAGCACATAAATATAATAATCGTACAATTTATATGTCTTGTGATGTCGTGAGATGTGATTACACTTATATTTGAGTTTAACTAGCCTTGAAGATACCTAAAAGCTCACAATGAGATGACCTTTCTCCCTTACTCTTGCTCTCGGCCAATCTCCTAAAAATTATTCCTTTCTCTCTCGACCAACTCTTCATTTCTTCTTATCGGCCGAATCGGTCTCCTAAGCAAATTAGTTTTTTTCCTTGTTGTTTATATGTTTTTAAGGCTAAAATGTCCCTAAGATGGTTTAAAAACCCTTTCCTTTTCTTTTTTTCTCTCTTATCCGAAACTTTGGAAGGTTTAATGAAGTTTCATAACTTAATTATTAAGTATGGAACACTTAAATATTTTTCTAGTTTAATACATGTGTATAAGTCACCAACGAAGCTTTATTTTGAAGTTACAACATGTGTGGAATATTTAATTAAACTATATCTTTAAGTCCCTCAAGTGTGACAAGGTTAACATATTAGTCACTTTATTTTACTACTTAATTTACTCGAGTCCTCAATCTTTTAATTATCACAATAAGGTCTCTAATCATCCACACACATACAACACTTAACAGTATAAACTTATAAAGCCGTACATTTATTAGCGTAAACACTAAGCAAAGCACCAATGGCAACACAAAGCATAATATCCATGCAAAACGAAGCTTAACATACATACGATTTAACAAAGTGAACACACACATATAAGTGCACATAAATGTTTAAAGTCGTGGGTATTACACTATAAATTAGTGATTTAGTGAAAGAGAGACTAAGAGATTGAAAAGGTGATTGTCATTTAAGGGTGTCACTTGTTAAGGTTTATTTCTTTTAAATTTTAAATACATGCGCGCACACACACATATAATTAAAAAAATTGATTTTCAATTTAAACCAAAAAAAATTGAATAAAAAAACCAAAATACTTTAGTTTAGTTTTGTTTTTCTTTTTTTTTAAAAAAAACAAAGTTCAAACCGAATAGTGCTTACCCTTGGATTTGAGCATGTTTTGAAATTTAAAATGACTTATAAATGTTTTTTAGGCCATTTTAAGGTATTTTTAAAGTAAAATTGGCGTAGAGAATGGGTGCAGAGGGCCAAAGGAATGCCCTTCCGAGTTTTTGACAACCTAGATTCTAATGACATTTCAATCATCAAAAAATTAGGAAAAAAGGTGATTGGATGACGTGTTCATCTATCATCAGAGGCAATGCATTGTTCACCTTTCTTACCTTTCTTTTTACATTATTGGGCAACACTTTTTTAACCCAAACGTGTAAGTCTAGTTGCTTTCAGACTTACATATAAGCTTGACGCTCGTTTAACCCAACTTTCATTTTTATTTTTATTTTTTAGTCTCTTAATATCGGTTCTCTCTCAGTAATTAATGATCGTTTTTTATTTTTCATGTAATTTAAAAAAACAATGATTATTTTCCATAATTTTAACTTTTTTTTCTGCTTTTTTAATTTGTATAGAAAATAATCATTATCGTAAAAATTAAAGACTCTTTGTGCAGCCTTACCCAAAATAATAATCAATTACCAATTTTACAATAGCAAAAGTTTGATGGTTGACGATGAATCGATATAAGATGCATATTTCAAAAAGATAACCACAGTAAAATTAAAACAGAGTTGACATAATATTGATTTTTTTTTAAAAAAAACCGGCATTGACCATAGATTAAAATTAAAAGAAAAGAGTCTAAATAACAATAATATAATATCCGGCTCATTGTCTTTAAGTTTATATTATTCTTGACTAATCGTATCTTGCTTCAAAATCAATCATGGTTCTTCAATATGTAATAGAAAGGTGATTCCTTGTTGTTTTCAAATAGTTGTTCAAAAAAAAAAATTTCTATTAGAATAACATTGACACGTCAAATAATTCATCACTTGATATTTTCATTATCTTACGTAAATTTATATTATATTTTAAATAATATAAATTAATATAAATTTACATTTTAAATAATAAAAATTAATATTAAGAATTACGTTGATGAAAAATAAAAAAATATAACTATCAAATACAGAATAATGAATTCTTTTAATAAATAGATATGGAAATCAGTTATTAAAATTAAGGGTCATTCTAACATAAATTGCTCAACCTTTTTATTGTTAATTTTTTCATTTTTTTCTAATTATTTAATTTTTAATTGGATTTTTAAGTAAAGTATATAAATGATTGTATGTTTGTATTTTTTATTTATCAAAATCAAACATATTTGTAAAACACATTTAAACTTTTAAAAAATGCACATGATATTACATTCTACAATATATGAATTAAATAATAAAATTTTATTTGTCTAAATTTGCAGAATTAATCAAGATATTAAAACATATTTTTATAAATTTGCCCGCAGCTGCGCTTAGAACATGAAACCATTGGCTCTCGGCTAAACTTGAAAATAAATAAATAAAACAAAGCCATTGGACACACCCGTCATTTAAAAAAAAAAGTGCAATTTTTAACCATTAAAGACACGAAACTCTAGAACACGGAGGGTAACACTGTAATTTAGCAAGTTATTAGGAGGAGCTAGGTTCTCCTCCTTGTTTAGTAAGCAGCACCTCACTCCTTTTCTTCTCTCATCTCTTCACAGAAAGAGTTTCTGTGGCTCTGCGTCTCTGAGGTGAAAAATAAAGCCCTAACTCTCTCGCTCTCATTTTTTTCTATTTTTATTATATTTACACTTTTTTTTATTCCATCTTTTAGCTCACGTTTCTGATCTAACAAGTTCTAAATATGAGCACCGTGATTTTTTTCTCTATGTATTTTTGTTGATCTTTTTTTTTTTTTTTTGTGGATGAGCATGTATGGATTTTATATTTAGTGAATAATAAGATTTGATTATTATTATTATTATTATTATTGATGTTTTGTCCCCCCTGATTTGCAGGTATCTAGGGTCTAAGGGTTTTTTGCTGGCTAATCAAATTTTTGCATGATTACTTGTTTTGTTGAGCCTTTTTTGTTGCAAGTTAGTTAAGGTTGTAGAGAATGGAGCTACTGTTTTGGTTCTAGGATGATGGATTTTTGGTGGGCTTTGTTTATTGTTAAAGCTGGCTCTAGATCTACTTGCACGGTTGATCTGAGCTTAATTCAATGTTCTTTTTTTTTTTTTTGCTGTAAAGTTGGTAATGTGTTATTTGGTTATCAGGTTATTGGTTATGGTGGCTTGAGTTTGTGATACTAGTAAGTTATGGAGAAGAAGATGGTGAAGAAGAAGAACCCGTTGGTTTTTATGGACGTGTGTATTGATGGCGATCCTAAGGAGAGAATGGTTTTTGAGGTATCATTATGCTTTAATCTTGTAGGATGTATGAAGAAGTACTTTTACGTTTAGTGTTGTTCTTGCATTTTTATTTATTCATTTGTGATTTTTTGTTCTGCAGCTTTTCTCGGACATTGTTCCCAAGACTGCAGAAAATTTTCGTGCTCTTTGTACAGGTAATGTTTACATGCTATAGTAGTCTTTTGCAATGACTTGTCTTGTGTTGGTAGTGCTGTCTCTTGTGTCATTTTTTTTTGTCCTGGATTGATGGTTTTTATATTGTTTCTGGATGGGAAAGCCTTTTTTTCAGCTATTGGAATTTTTAATTTATATTTGAAGGTTGGTTCGGGTAGATTTTAGACATTTAATTTTCTTTTCTTTCATTGCTTTTCTGATGTCTTCAATCTTTACACTCAGGCGAGAAAGGAATTGGTCCTAAATCTGAAAGACCATTGCACTACAAGGGATCCTTTTTCCATCGCATCATTAAAGGTTCCATGGCTCAGGTTTGTTGTTCTGTCTAGTGTACATCTAGATTTTTCTTACATAGGTTTGCTTAGTTTTCTTGTTTGAACATGCCTTAGAGGTGGTCCATCTTTTAGTCAGTTACCCTTGTTTATGCTGTAGGATTACAGGGCTGATGGTCACGACTGCATTTCTTGTGATGTAGTTTTAAGGTTGTACTTACTGAGTTGTCCATCCTCAAAATTTACTCTGCTTCACCATGCCAAACCCATTTTTGAAACAAATAATTTTACTCATTGGTGGACTAATATCTTGTGTTAATTTTGCAGGGTGGTGATATTTTGAAACGAGATGGTATGTAATTCTTGTGTGGTCATTGTTCTTTTTGATTTCATGCAGTTTATGACTTTGCATGGTACATGAATTTGAAATTATGACCCTAATTGTTTTCAGAATTCTTATGCTTATTTTAGAATTTTTGCCACCCCTTATTTTTCCCTCAAATTTAGGGAAAATCAACCAATTTGCCCTTATACTTGGAAGTCAATATCCAATTTATCCTGGAACTTTTAATTGCATCTATTTTACACTTGAACTATGTTAAAATCTCTAATATGGACTTCTGTTAGTGAAATTTGTTAAACTTAAAAGAGTTTTGTGTCATGTACATGTGTATTCTATGATTATTGACAGGCTTAGTTACCATCAACAAAGGGTGTCTGTCACTTGCAGCGGGTGACTAAGTTTTTCTTTCACCACTTGATTATATAATCTAAATGGGTTTCTGTCAGTCCCTATTTTATTCTTGGTTAAAAACCTTTTTTTGTCGCAAAAACTCAAATCTGCAATTTCACATCTATGTAGGATCTGATATTTGGACGGCATAATTTGATAAATTTCACTAATAGAAGGCTATATTGGATATTTCCATTATGCTTTAGAGGTATCATGGATGCAATTGATAGTTTAGAGGGTAGATTGGAGACTAGGTCCTGAGTATAAGGTGGATTGATAGATTTTTTTCTTGAAATTTATAATGTTCTATATATTTGAAGATCTAAAATCTTGTTTGTTTTTAGTGATTGCCAATTGTAAAACAGTAAGTTTTGGCCAAGGAATGAGACTATGGTCTATAACATAACTCCTATCATTTGTCCCTAATACATGGTCTGAAATCAAAGTTCTGTGTTTAAGCTTTTATGCAAGATAAAAATCCAATCAGAATGAAGCACGATTTTAGATTTTCAGGGGATAAGATGCCCTGAAATGTTTTCGCTCGTCAAATTCTGAACTTTTTTTTTCCCTGTTTTGCAGGGACCTTTGGAGAGAGCATATATGGGGACAAGTTTCCAGGTGAGAATTTTTGCAATCTTTTGTTCATGTTGATGCTTGTTGTGAGGTTGACGTTAAAAAATTTGCGAGCATACAAGTGAGAAATTGTGTATTATATCCGTCATGGAAATGGAAGTGAAATTATCACTTGTGCATTCATTTTAACAATGGGTGTTGACAGTGCCACTCCATATTGTTATAATGCTACTCCACTCAAGGAAGTCATTTAAACATGTAATTTCTTTATAGAGTGGAGTGTCATTATCAATTATGGAGTGGCAATATCACTTGCCTTTTACCTATAGGTTCAGTGGTTCCTTGATGGGTGTATATTGAATGTCGATACACAAACCCATGTCATGTCTTAAAATGTCTGAATGTCTTGCCCCAAGGTCCAAATGTTTCTGAATCACGTAGTATAGGTGTAAACTTTTATGCTAGCTTATCACATATCTTTGGTTTTTATTGGCGTCTCATTTTGGAGGCAATGAAGGGTCTGATTTGACAATATGTTTCAAATAGAAAAATCATGCTTTGCTGGTCTGTCTCTCAAGGAGAACAACAACAACCCCCCCCCCCCCCCCCCCCGCGTTGGAAACCAATCTAATAAAATAGTCTAATATTAATGCTGGCATTGGTATTTTGCAGATTGAATTTTGTCTTTGGACACATCATAAACAAAATCCCAGTTTATTGTTCCTAACTTCCTTTAACATTGAGAGCAGCAGTTTATTGTATAGTGTGCTGTAATGTGAGATCTCAGATTCTGCTTCGCACTTGGTGCAATAATTCACTGTTTTCATGTCTGGACCCCAGTGCCATTTAGCTGTTTGGGAACTACCAGTCTTGCATTGTCCATGGGACTTGCATTATAATTTTATCTTGATTTTCTGGGTTGCTACATTGATGCTGCAAGTTAAAGTGATCCTCCATTCAATGTCGTAACAAGCGATTTTTGTGGCACTGTTGCAGATGAGTATCCAAAGCTAAAACATGATGAACCTGGTCTTCTGTCCATGTCGATTGCTGATCGTGACACTTTAGGTTCTCAATTTATTATTACTTTTAGGGCTAATCATCATCTCGACAGGTTTGTGGCTTAGGATGCATGCCAATTCTTCAAAGTTGATGCTTTTTTTTTCAACACACTGTTTGACGTGTCATTGCATCCATCATTTACAGTGCTTTGTTGTGGATTTTATATGACAGGAAGTATGTAGTCTTTGGGAAGCTTGTGCAAGGAGATAAAGTACTGAAGAATATTGAAGATGTGGGGGATGAAGAAGGGATACCCACTGTAACAGTGAAAATAGTCAATTGTGGTGAATTCATCGAGGGTAAGAAATCTATAGTCAATATATGTGTGACAATAGGTGGACTTTGTTGGTGGGTCTGTTTGATTTGGCTTTTACAGATCCAATAAGTGTCTAAGGAATGCTTTCTTTCTTGTCTCCCTCTCTTTCTTTGTTAGCCTTTTTCTTTAATATCAGGTGCCACTGGTTTTTCTCAAGTTTTAATTTGTTGTCATTTTTTTCCTGCAGACAAAAAGAAACTAAATAAACTGAAAATGGAGAAGCACAAGAAATCTTCTAGGGAAAGAAAGAAGAGGAGGAGGAGAAACTATTTGTCTGACTCAGAGAGTTCATCTGATTCTGATATGGAATCATCGGAATCCGATAGTGATTCTGACTCTTCTATGTCATCATCATCTGACATTAGTTCTTCAAGTGAGGACAGGCGTAGGAAGAGAAAGAGAACTTCTAAACGAGACAAACATAGACGTGGGAAAAAAAGAGATAAGCGACGTGAAAAAAGGCGAAAGAGACGCGACAAGCGATCCAAACATAGATCAAGAAGGTAGCCGCATTGCCATGATATTCTTAATCTTACCTATCAAAAGAAACCATCTTTGTCTATGTTACTTTAATGTTTTTATGTGAGTTACCTTCTTGAAATGAAAAAAAAGTCCAAACTGCTTTGTTTATAACACAACCCCCACCTCCCAAAGAAATCAGTTGGTCTTTGACTTTTAACATCCTCACAATCGCAGATAAGTGAATTCACATTGATCTTATGAATGTTTAGTAGAACATTGTCTCTGCTTGAAAGCATTACTCTGGAAGTATTTTAGATATGATGTGTGAACCAATTTGTTAAGTCATTTATCGCTGTTGAGTTGGTTAGCTTTAATTTTTTTAAAAAAAACACTAACTTGTCGATCACTCATTTTTGATAATGTATCTCCCATGTATTCCATACTGAATTAATTCTTTTGTCTCTTAGATCGTCAGATAGTATGACAGATGCTGAGAGTGAGAGTGAAACCAGCTCTGATGATGATCCTCTTGATGCTCGTAAGGAGAGAAAGCGTAGAGACCCTTCTCGGAAAACTGGTACTGCCTCTCGAAGTCATTCTATCCAAGTTTTTTGCATGTCTCCGAAATTGCTGCAGAATGCTTGGAAAAGATCATCTGATTGCCCTTGCTTATTTATTTTGATGCATGCTGCATGGATGCCATTGTCGTATTGACTACACTTGGTTCTTGTTAAATTTGCAATTCATTTGTACGCTTGCAGTTGTATGTCTGATGCTAACAATGTTGGAAGTAGAGTGAAACTTTTTCTCTCTTGATTTGCTTTCTTTATTTGTATTCTGTTCAAGTTGGCCTTATGGCCTCTCTTGTGATAGTCATGCACTCTGGATTTAACAAATATTGTACTAATTGCTTTGTGTAATGTTGTGCAGCTGAGGATCAATCTACTGTGGTTTTGGAGGAAGAAGCTGCCTCCCTTCCTCGTAGAAGAAAGGAGGAACCTGATATACTTGAAAAGGAAGATGATGAATTCCCCAAGGAAAATGGATCGCGACGAAGTAATGGCATTGAGGCAGATGCTAAATCCTATGGAAGTGAAGATAGACAACCTGATATCAGATATGATCACCCAGGAAAATCTAGGTCTAGTTTCCATTCTTGTCACACCTCAGTTATTCTTTATGCTTACAGATTCTTCCAGATCTGTATTTTATTGAAAGTTGATGAGCAGGAGCCAAAGCATGAGTCCCAAGAGGACTATGAGTAAGAGTATGAGTATTAGTCCCCGGAGGAGCCTGAGCAAGAGCCTGAGTGCTAGTCCAAAGAGAAGTGTTAGCAGGAGTCGCAGTTCTAGTAGAAGCCATCCTCATGTATCACAGAGGAGTGTCAGCAGAAGCCCTGTTAGAAGTGGCAGCAGCAGGAGCCCAGCTAGAAGTTTCAGCAGAAGTCCTGTGAGGGCAAAGAAGGCTAGAAGCATAAGCACGAGCCCAGTGAGATCTCGGTCTCGAAGAAGTTTCAGTAGGAGCCCTGTAAGAGCACCACCTCGAAGAAGCCGAAGCAGGAACCCTGTGAGATCTCAGTCTCGATCATTGCAAAAATCAATTAGCAGAAGTCCTTTAAAAGATTCCAGGAGGAGCATAAGCAGAACCCCAGTTAGATCTTCTCGGAGAAGCGTTAGCATTAGCCCTGCTCGATCTTCTCGTAGAAGCATCAGCAGAAGTCCTGTTCGATCTTCTCAGAGAAGCATTGGCAGAACCCCAGTTAGATCTTCGAGGAGAAGTATCAGCAAAAGCCCTATTAGATCTTCCAGGAGGAGCATAAGCAGAAGCCCAGTTAGATCTTCTCGGAGAAGCATAAGCAGAAGCCCAGTTAGATCTTCTCGGAGAAGCATAAGCAGAAGCTCTGGTAGGGCTCCTTCAAGGAGGAGAAGCATTAGCAGAAGTCCAATTAGGGCACCAAGCAGGAATGATCGGCGCAGCTACTCAAGAAGCCCTAGCATACGTAGGGCAAGGTCTCCTGATCGAAGAAGTTTGTCAAGAAGTGTTTCCCCGAATGGGTCTCCCAAGCGCATCAGGAGGGGAAGGGGTTTCAGTCAACGATACGCTTATGCTCGGAGATATAGAACCCCCTCTCCAGAGCGTTCTCCTGTGAGATCCTTCCGTTATAGCGGCCGTGATAGGTACCTGGCAAGCCAACTTCCTTTGGTTTTTTGTTCACGTCCTGTTCTGATATATTTTGGTCATGTGAACTATCATACTAACTACATGATGTATTTTCTTAAATGACAACTCACCCTTTATTATATGTTTCTAGATATTCCAGTTACCGAAGGTATTCTCCTAGGCGTTATAGAAGTCCACCAAGAGGAAGAACTCCACCCAGGTCTGTGATCTACTTCGGTTTTTTTTTTTTTTTGCTGATCTCATTTCTTGTCACATTGTTTAGCGATGCTGGAAATACTGTTTACATGGAAGTTGGAACTGCCTTTCTCTTGTTCTGGTTCCTGGAAGTGCACGTCTTGTTTATTGTTTATTGGGATGGTTCCAAAGGAACTTAGTTCTGGAAGTACTGTATCTATCCTTGGTTGTGCAATTTTCTATCTTGCTTGCTTAATTTCTCTGTGACACCATTACCAGATATAGAGGGAGGAGAAGCAGGACACGTAGCCCATCTGTGTCACGCAGCCCCCGTTATCGTAATCGTCGTTACAGCCGCAGCCCTGTTCGCAGTCGTTCCCCAGTTAATGTGTCCAAGCCTCGTGTGTCTCCACGAGTCACAAGGCGGAGGTCGCTATCTAGCAGCCGGAGTCTGTCGAAATCACCATCTTCATTGGACTCCCAGTCTCCCAAGCGACTCAGCAAAGATGGATCAAGGTCGTCATCAAGAAGCCCTGGTGGGAAGAAGGGCCTGGTGTCATATGATGATGGTTCTCCCTGACTCCAGCCAAAGGTGAACTGGGTGAAAGATGTGATGTTGATGATCCTTGGTCAGGACTAGCTCAAGCAATCCATTATGCATTTTGAGCAGCTGTGTTTTACGATATCCTGCATTTTGAGTAGGTGTTTTTTCCGATGAACTAGGGGCTTGTTTACCAACCCCCCACCCCACCTCCAACTGGACCTAAATTGTTTGTTTTTATAGAGGCAGGTCGTGTAGTCACATATCATTATCCTAGTGTGTTTTAGATTTATCTTTGGCTTGTTGCAAGGATATAGAGTAATAACTTATCTTATTATGAACATAGAGTCACTTTGCTGCAGGTTTTCGTTACTCTTTCCTTGTGTTGACTTGCTGATAGGTAGGTTGAAGTTGAGGTGGGAGATGATTTATGTGCCTTGGGCTGGACTGGAGACTTTGTTTCCGAAGCTCAAAGTTTTGCATCTTTAAGCTGTATCAGTTCTTTTACGTTTGTGGTGCCTGAATCGAACTTGGGCTATGATGCGCTTGTGACCGCTGTCATTTAGTTTTTCTTTTATCAATAATAGTTTGGTGGTCGAGGCACTTTCACCATGCCATAGCTGGGTTCTCCCTTGCTCTCAACCAGGATTCCAAGCATCACGACACAGCGCTGAATCCTTCAGAATGTTTTTTTTTCCTAAACTATGGTTCGACAAATAATGAGTTGCAAAAATCCTCCTGCTTCATGATCAAAAGCACTTTTCTCTGCTAGCTAGACGAATTGTCGTCCAGAAGCTTCAAGCCCTATGGCTGTCTCCTGTACTTGAGAAGCACTCAAGTTCACCATACTTCCAAAGCATGCAAAAAACTGAGTTGAGATTCTTTGAATTAAGCCAATTCAAACATTCATGTTCATCAAATGGAAGCTTCTCTTCCCCTCTCTGCTTTATTATCTATGTTTCTGTTGCGTAGTGAAACTGGTCCTGCATGCCATGCCTTTCTTCCAAAAACCTCTCTATAATGATCAGCATAAATTGGCCCGAGCTCGTAGAAACTGTTGACAGCAACACAATATCTCTTCGAATCTGCATCTTTACCCTTCTTGAATACCTCGACAAGGATTCATCATTCATCATCATGTTTTCCATAGCACTTCCTTTCTTGTCTTGTTATCTCCACCAAAAATGGTTCAGAATCCGATGAAACTTTCTTGTGTCGATCGTATAACCTTAAGCATTGATCAGTGCATGAAAAGAAAAGGGCTAGTTCCATCAACCACTAATTTGGAATTTCTAACATGGCTGCAACATCAGTAGTCCGAGCCCCAAGGAAAGATCATGTCTGCAATAAGACGGTCAGGGTGGATTTCCTATAGTAGCCTCTTGAAGGGTTCTTGAAGCATGGGTGGCAGTTACCATGAAATTTTTTGCAATCATTTGCCGACTTAGGAATGGGAAAACATGAAGTCCACATTTTCACATCCTTGTGGGCCTGTGGCAATCCGGCCTCAACACTAGGAAATATGATTGTCTGTTCATTGATTTCAAAACCCAAACCTTTGGTTCTCTGAATTGTTTTGGAGTAGAGAGGCACATGAAGAGGAATGGTGAAGATGCCAGTCCTTCAAAAGGAAATAAAAAAAAAACGTGTAAGTGCTTAAACTTACTGTCCATGTGCCCTTGCGACAAATGAAAAACAGGTTGAATTACAAGACAAAAGGGGGTGATGGGTTAGTCCTTTTGGTTTGGAAGTTTCACTTGGTGAGCTTGGAGCCTACTGTTTTCATGGTTTTTGTGTTTATCCTTTTTCCATTAGGCGTCACCTACTGCTCAGTTCCAAGGACTGTGGATTTTGTTGTGTGTAAACTTTGTTGCAGATGTTACAATACATTTTTTATTAAAATCATCTATGCATTAAAAGGGAAATCACGAACAAATGCAACTTGGAAAATTCATCCATCATTAAATACACATTCAATTATAGGTGATGTTTGCCATGTCCTTATCTTTTATTATTATTTACTACTATTTTTGCGAAAATGCACTTCCCAACACCAAAATTGGAAAATGGGCCACGCCGGCCAAGGTTCCTTTCTTCTTGCTATTAAAGGACAGCATTGATTCAGCAAAAACTATGTTTGGGGCAAAAAAAAAAAAAAAGCAAGCAAAACAAAATATTCGAGACATGGAAAGTTTTGCAGCAGACAGCAGTACAAGAGCGAGATCTTTACACTTTTGTTTTTGTTCTGAAAATATAAAAAGGCTACTCATCCTACTATGCAATAATGGCCCTATAAACTCTCTAATAATTAATAAAACCATTTTCGAAGATGAGATGGGGTTAGACATCAGGACAAAGAGACAGTAGTCTACGTTTTTTTAAAAAAATTATTATTATTTTATTTATTTATTGGCCATGACAAGATGTGTATCCTTAGAATAGAAAGGCACGTTTCTCACATTTATTTCCTTTGTTTCAAATAAACTGCCCTTCTTTCTACCTGTAAATGTTTAGAGATGTTCATTCGGTTTCAAATAATCAATTTAAAAAAAAAAAATAACCGAAATTGAATTGAAATATTATTTGATTTTTCAGTTCAATTTTAAAATATTTTGATTTTGATATTCGGTAATTCGATTTTTATCTCGTTTTATTTTATTTTATTTTTTCTATGAATGATTGATTATATTAAAGTTTATAGAATCTTTTTTTAGAGTGAGTTTCTTTTCTACTTCGTAAACTACTACCTAAGAAATTAAGTTACATCCAAAAAATAACAAAGACATTGATACATAAACAAATAATAAATTGTCAACTCAAGAATGCTTGAATTTGAGACAATAGAAAATCTATCAAAATCTTTGCTATTTTGTATAGATACGGACTTGTAGTAGATATAGAGAGAGTACGTACGAAACTGTGGGAGAACGTGCATACAAAGAAGAAGGGTTTTTTCAATTTGGGAATAATGGGAGTCATGAGTGATCTCAATTAAAAAAGATATATATATAAAATTTTGGTTTTCTCGGTTTAATTGATTTTTTAAAACCGAACTCAAACCCAAAAATTGAAATTATTTTGGTTCATTTTTAAAAAAAATTTCTAAAAAACCGCATCGAAATTGATATTTTAGTATGGTTTGGTTATTCGAGTTTCACCAAGTAGTAAACACCATTATATATATCCCAAAATACTTAATTAGTTAAAAATTTTAATACTCGTATTTTTCTAAAATATCCTTGATTGATAAAAAATAAGATCAATTCTTTCTTACTTTTCCTAGTTTTAACTAATAAAATTCAACTTTCTTTATAATATCTCCTCATACATACAAATACTTAAATTTGAGAGGGATGAAAATTTTAACTTGTAGTCTTAATTTTGAGACTAATTTTTTGACTTAAAATTTTGTGAGAAATTTAGGTAGACTTAATAATGTTTAGATCCTCAAATTTGAAAAGAATGGAATTTTAATTTGCTGTTTTAATTTTTGGCTTAAAAGTTTGTGTGGACTAACGAAATTTTTAGAGTAAGTATTTACATTAGTATGTTATTTTTCAATACACGATTAAATTAGATAGATTTTCTCTTTTAAAAAAAGATATTTTAAGAAAAATATTGTAAAAAATGTTGATATAACATGATAATAAATAAGTTTTTTTAACTATATGAAAAGTCAACCATTACTTTAAAACAGAAAGATAACCCTTTTTTGGGCTCTGCTAATAATTTAATAGAAAGCAATTGAGTCTTGTAGAATTAATTATGGCCCACCTAATAAAATTAATTATGACTCATATGATACATGTATTTATTATAATACATATGTATTTAAAATGTAACTAATTAATTATGATACATGTATATTATAATTAAATGTATCTAATTAATTATAATGAATGAAATTAATTATGATATATGTACAATGTTAAGACTATAAAAAGAGGATGATCCTCTCCGTATCTTGAAAAAAAAAAAAAAGACTACCAATTTAAAGAATAAATAAATAAAGGGATACTAATTTCCATTGTTACGAAAGAGAACAAGAGAGAGAAATAATTCTTCATCTACCTCGCTTTTTAGTGTGGATTCAATGGTCAAATATGAATGAAGGTATGTTTTTTTTTAAAAAAAATACTGTCAAAAACATAAAGTTCTAAGATTTATGGGAATTTTTAATTTATGTTTTATTCTTTTGCATAATTATACTTATGGGCTATAGTTTACACTTCCACATAATTATATCATTGGTTATAGTTTATGAGTGGTATCATAGCTTGGTTTAGGAACTCATTTTTTTTTTTCTATTTAAGATCATGATTTTCTCTCTCAATTGTGAATTTAGAATTCAAATAATGAATTTTGTTTCAAGCAATGTTGATTGATGTTTTAATTATATTTTGAATGATCAAATATATTGAAATTTTGACATATTAAAGTTTTTCCGATCAAGTATATATATTTCATTAAATGAATATAAGTATTGTATTTGCAATTTAAAATTTTATATGAATAATGATTTGTTAGTCACCAAAATGACCAAATCTTAATGTAAATAAATTTTAAATTGTAAATTATTTTCAATTATCCATAAAATCTAAAGTTTTACATAACATTAAGTTATGTATTATATTCGTTTATGGATAAATTGAAATTTGTTCATATAAGACATTTCAAAATTAGCCCAAAGATTGATTAATTATTCTTATAATTGACAAATATTATTAAGGTGATTAATATGTTCTATTGGTTTTGCTTTGCATATCCAAAGATAACAAAATGGATCTATCTAGTATATATGTTATTACCACTCATTGTTTATGTTTGCATATCTTAGTGTCGCCCAAATGAGAACTTTAATGTACCTCATGGTTATTCATGTTATATATTTGAATTTGAATATGAATTTATGACTCAAAACATTAATGTGTGAGTATTTTATCTTATTTGAAGAATTTGTGTTTGTTTCACTTCATTATCATGATTAATCTATTCGATATTTAATGGATAAATTTTTTTTGATTGGTGGGAACAAGTTCAATTTCACTTAAGTGTTCTGCAATTTGATTTAGCACTTTAAGTTGACATTCTCATTGATATTACCGAAAAGAGATAAAAGAACTTTCCATAAAGTTTGGGAAAGATCAAACAAATTAAGTTGAATGTTTATGCAAATGATAGTGGCAAACAACTTAAAGATTATTTGTTTTCTAAAACCGATAGTGCTATGAAATTTAAGAAATTTGTGGAAGAACACTCTCAAGCTATTGATAAGTTAACTCGTTGGTACATTAATGACTACTCTAACTATAATAAAATATGATGTTTCACGTACTATGCACAAGTATGTTCTTGAGATGATTACCTAAGCATCGTAATTAAAGGACTTAGGAATAAACATTGATGAGTACTTCTTAGTATAATTTATACTTAACCCGTTGCCTTCGATTAATATGGGCATTTTCAAATGAATTACAATCCTTTAAAGGATAAGTGAAACATAAATGAATTGACTAGTATGCTTGTTCAAGAGGAAACATGATTAAAGAATCAAATAACTCATTTTATTTATTTTCTAAGTCATCGAAGCTGAAAAAAACTCTAAAAGAAAAGTAAAAAGAACAAGAAGAAAAGTTTACACTACTCGAATGAGTCTTTAAAAGCTTCTCACAAGAAGGAACATGGGAATATTAAATTTTATTTTTATAATAAAGTTGAGCATTTCAAAAAAGATTGCCCGAAACGTAAAGTTTGGTTTGAAAAAAAGATAAGCATTGTGCTTTAGTATGTTTCGAATCAAACTTTACTCGAAGCTTCTCATAATAATTGATAGATAGATTTTAGCTCTATTGCATATGTTTTAAATATGGTGCAAGAATTTCTTATAGTCTAAACCATGAAGTCAAATAAAAGTTTTATGTTCTTGGGGAACCAAAACAAAGTTTTAGTTAAAGACATTAGCACTTATCATTTAATTTAAGATACTAGACATTATTTGGATTTGTTTCAAACTTTCCATGTAAAGATGTGTTCTTAAGTTTGGTTATAGATCTTTTTAGTCCATTTAAGAACAATTATTTTATTGTTTTTGGAATATTATGTGATGATCTCGACAAGTTTAGACTCGATGATATTTTTATTAAGATTT